ATATATATGTCAATATACATGTTTTTTAGGTATATACGTTCATATAGGTATATAAATATATATATATACATACAAATACACACGCACACACACACACACACACACACACACACACACACATATATATATATACATATGCGTGTGTTTTTGTTTGTGTACATACAGGTGTGTTGTTGTGTGTGTGCATGTGCGTTCCTGTTTGTTTGTGTTTGTTTGGTGTGTGATGTGTTCAATTTTCCATTTCTATTAGCACATCCTGTAATTCATCCGGTATTCATTTCATTTGATATTGGTTAATGTCTTTCAGATCGTAGAGTTTTTTCTGCATCTGCTGAGAGTAAGAATGCACAAATCATCTCGTTTCCTCATCCCAGGACGGGTGACCAAGCGAGGTAGGTTCAAATGCAACAAATTGTAGTAAGTTTGACCAAATTAAGCCTGGGCCAAAAAGTGAAGAGAATTAGACCCATTTCGATTCGAGTGCGCATTTGATTACTTATATGTTTTGATACGCACTTTAAGTTATCGTTTCACTATCGACCGGCTGTACATTTAGACTTATCGAATCTGAGCCTTCGCCTATGTGCACAGATGCATGGTCTCGGCGGATGGCAAGGAAGTTTTTGAGGTAGGGCATCTGAACACAGCCAATACCAAGAACATGAAACGGTCCTGGCTGGTGGGTGACAGCGTTCAGAAAGGTATGGTTTTAGTACACTTTAAGGCATCGTAGGCCTCTGCTACAAGGAACATTTAAGTCTATTTCTTAGTGCTGTGCGAGGCTACTTTAAAGCACCAACCACTTTCTATGCAAGATGCTGACCCATTCACCTGTAAGTATTGCTTTATGACTTGCTGCCAAGTGTTAGTTTGAGATAGTCATGGGCGGGATCTCTGCGTGGATGAATAAAGAAAGTGGATGTGTTATTCTATTAATAGAATAGTCGGAGGTATTTATTTGTTAATAGTATAGTCAGCGGTTTCCTATCCATGAGGGACATGGTAGACAATCTAGAGTATGTACTCGACAGTATGAATCTGTTTGTACATCGCACTACGGCTGCAGAAACCGTGCATCCGTGCACTTTCTGTGCAACATGATGGACTTGCTTTCCAAAGCCAATTGCCCTATTTATTATGCACTTTTTACTCCCGTCCCAATTCTAGACGGCTCCTACTATGTGGTAGGTAGGATAGACCCGATTTTTCTGATCCTGCCAGTACTACAGCAACACAGCACAAAGGTAAATACCGGCTATGTGAACCCCAATTTCTCTCGCTTCATCGTCTTCTAAATCCAATACCAAAAAAATAAAAGCTGTCGTCATGGAGACAGCTATTACATGCGTATGGCTCTGTATGGCAATTCATCTAACGGCGTTTCTCACTTGTTGTGGCTTTGCAGAAGTCTACTTTTGCAACTCTCGAAGACATCTTCACGGCCTCTGGCAATAGCAACTACCACCGACTTGAACGGTGCAGGTATGGTACATCGCAGGTGCTAACGGTGGGCTTGGCTTTACCATTGCAGCATACTCTGTTTCTGCGTATGTATGTGCATAGCTGTTATAAGCCGAAGTGTACATATAGTGTATTTAGCTGTTATAAACCAAAGTATACATATGGTGAATATAGCTATTATAAACTAAGGTACACATATGGTGTATATAGCTGTTATGAACCGAAGTATACAACTAGCAAGCATCCACTAAAATTTGTCGAATAAGGATGCGCCAGCGGAAGGGTGCAGAGCCTGCTGAATTTGACTGGCCTTAGAAGGAAACGTTATCCGAGAGGGCAAGAGCTTCCCAACCAGTAGGGTTTTCCAGAAAAGTTGTAAAATTTAGGCAAAAATGCAGCCATAGACCAAAAATCGTGCTCTTTTGTAAAGTTATGGCCGCCCAAGAAACCTATATCGTTCTGAGGCCTTTTATATTTAGTAGGCCTGGCTCGGTGGTATTTTGGATTTGATCCGACGGCGGAGGTCAACACTGCGTGATTGCAGTCTCATACGATCTGAGTATATCTTGGTCTACCATGTACGTATGTACCTTCACAATAATTTATCTGTATTTGACTTCTCCAATGTTTGCGCAGTTCTC